TGTGTCTAATTTTATACGAAAATGCCGCTGGAACTATGTCGGCCACGTCCTTAGAATGGATAAATCAAGACTTCCTTACCAAGCCCTCATTTGGACACCACAGGGGAAAAGATCTCGTGGAAGACCAAGGGAAACCCTACGTAGAACTATCATCAGGGAAGGCTCGCTCATGGGCCACTCAAACATCCAAGACCTACAACGGATTGCAACGGACCGCCGTGCATGGAGAGTCACGACCTCTGCCCTATGTGCCGCACTCGACACAAGAGGAAAGACTAACTAACTAACTAACTCTTACATACCCAGATGTAGATCCAAATGATGGAGGATAACTTTCTAGTTATTTGGAGCATAGATTACCTGTTGTGATTTTCTAAAGCATGTTCACGGAGTCTGGGTAGTAAAGTCTGAAACGATTACCCCAGGTGTAACCACTCGTTCTGCAACCCAAATGAATGCTCTGGAAGCAGTAGTTGTCACTATGGTCATTCTTGACGTGTTTATCTAGTAAGCGCCACTATCCACATAAAATTGATACAGGCTGTTGGAGATAACAAGATGTTGAGAGCATGTTCACAGTTGATGATGAAAATTGTGTGAGCTTTCCTCGTATCATCAGGTTCTTCTTCTGCATTTGCCATTAAAATGGTAGCTGGTACAGTATGTTGAGGTTTACAGCTGGGCTGCGATATCTGCACCTTTTGGCCTAGCTCATCCAATTTCAGCAAACTTTAATAAGTTACCTTTTAGGACATACTTGTTAGGTTGGCATGCATTGTGAGTCTATTACAGTGATGATGGTGATGGCAATGGTGTGTGTGCGCGTGCGTGCATGCGCTCGCGCGCGCATGTTGATTTTAATAGCTAGCCTAACCTGTTCAATAGAATGTTGGATTCTTTCATTGAATCCAGAGCATGATTACACCAGCCATCTTATTTCATCTGAAGATGTTACATGCTTTTTTACTTTATTGCCCCAGTAGGCAGTGAACTATTTCTTGCTTCATTGTTGTGGTGGTGGTGGTGGTGGTGTGTGTGTGTGTGTGTGTGTGTGTGTGTGTGTGTGTGTAAGAGAGAGAGAGAGGAGAGAGAGAGAGAGTCCTTGAGTTGGTGAGTGAGTGAATTAGGAAATGGAAGGAAAAGGTTGGAGATTTCCGTCAAGGAAATGAAAATATATTCTAATTGGTTTCATCATAAGCCATATATCTGTTGGTTGGGAAAGGGGGGGGGGGGTGGAGCAGGATTAGCTCTCCTTTGGTTGAACTAAATAAATTTAGTTTTTAGTTAGTTTAACCAGCTGATGTCTAGTTTACTGTAGGTTGAACCATTAATGTAAATTTTCCAACTGAAAATTGCTGATTGGAGGGAAGCAAAGAATATTCAAAGGTTACAAACAAGAAAGTAATCATCATCATCATCATAGTCCTGTTGTGCCATTTTATGTCACAATGGGCTCACAGTCTAATCCCCCATTCAGCTCTATCCTGTGAAGTCTAACATCACAGCTGGAAACCAGTTCAGCACGCTGGCCTCTCAACAGTTCGTTTTAGGCTTTCTTTTGAATACCCTCTTTTCCCCAGTCGCTTAGTTTCCCATCTTGGTGCCTGTTTATTGATCCTCTGCTCGTTTCTTTTCAATATGTGTCCAAAAAAGCGCCATCCTCTTTGTCTCGTATCTCTGGTTACAAGCGGTTGTCCAGATACTTCTTCTCTTTTTTCGTCGCCCTTCTTGCATTCATCCCATTTTTATATTCACCATTTTTCTCAGGCATTTTTGTGGGGGGGGGGGGGGGGGGGGGGGGGGGGGGGGGTGTTTGTAGGTGGTTATGGGGTGGGGGGGTAAATGATTCTTTTTAAGCCATGGCAGCTCAGGCATGTGATGCTGGACTCATAATTGATTGATGTTACACCTGCCACCAATACTTCCCAGGACTTTATTTGGTACCTTTTTTAGGCTGGATCAACCGGTAGTTTTATCATACTTTTTTTTTTTTGGTATGTCCCTTTTTCACGCCTTTAGGCATATTGGGAATACAAAGCTAGACCTTATTTGTATAGACCAAACGGCACATGGTGGGTGATGTGGTCAGCACCACGCCGGCTGCCTTTACTTCCCAGGACTGCACCTGGTACCCACTTAAGGCTGGGTTGACCTGGGAGTTGAAGTCATTTTTGGGCGCGAACTCACAACCTTCCTATCTGCAGGGCAGACGTCAAGGCCACTCCCAGTTCAACATACTTAGCAAGATATTTTAAAAAAAAATCTGACTGGATTTGAACCTAGCAGCTTTGGTCGAGCAAGCGAGCTTCTGTCCTCTATGCCACAGTGACTCCCAGATATTTATTAGTTAAACGAAAAAAGATGTTGTTACCTGTTGGTTGAATCAGACATTATACGCAGTGGTATATTTTAGCATGCATATCTTGTTTGGTTTAGGTATTAGAACAGAAACACCACCTTAGCTTGTTTTAAGGATACCACACATTTAGCTGTTATTGCATCATTACCTTAGCTTGTTTAAGGATACCACACGTTTAGCTGTTCTTGCATCATTACCTTAGCTTGTTTAAGGATACCACACGTTTAGCTGTTATTGCATCATTACCTTAGCTTGTTTAAGGATACCACACGTTTAGCTGTTCTTGCATCATTACCTTAGCTTGTTTAAGGATACCACACGTTTAGCTGTTATTGCATCATTACCTTAGCCCTTTTAAGGATGCCACACGTCTAGCTATTATTGCATCATTCTCTTTTTCATGATGATGTGTACATTTTGTGTGTCTGTATTTAATTTCAGGTTTAACACATTTAACATTCAACAAGCTTTTCCTCCTTATAGTAAATCCTGTCTTTGCCCGTTGACTAGTGGAATGGAGTTTACAATACAACATTCTGGTCATAGTGTAATGTTGTGATTTTTTTTCCACAGGTATTTTATATTTTCTGAAATGATTACTAATTTTTATTTCTTTTTTCCCCCCTTAACTTATGCACATCTCTCATTTATTAAATGGGACTGTTCTTACCTGCAGTTTATTTTGGATCTGTGGATGGATTATTATTATTCCTTCCTTGTGTAAATTTTTGTTGTATTTGTCCATCAGCTGTTCTGTCTTGGTTCTTTTGTATTTGTCTTTTAGCCGTTCTTTTCTGTGTGTCCTATAGCTTTTCTGTTGTATTTATCCTATAGCTGTTCTTCTGTGTTAATTCTATGCCATTTACATTGTGATTTTTGTGCGAAATTGGGTTTCTAGTTTGAAACCAACAGGGACTGAAAAGAGTTTGTATGACTATTAAACAGTGTAGGATGATGCATGGCAGACCTTTGAAAATGGGAGAGGTCGGCAGGTCTTAGCTGTTTGAGAACCACTGAGTTATAACAAGTCCACAATATTTAAATTGTCACTGCTGTCTTTATGTACCACTTTTTTAGGGTGGTATAGACAGGGGGGTCGTGAACATGAGGATTTAGAGCCCCATGGCTAGTGCTGTCGCCATGGACCTTGCAGGTTACGATGGTTTTTTGTTGCCCCCGACAGAAAAGCTCCCATCACCTTACCAGGGATCGAACCTGGGTACCCCGTATGGGAGCCTAATGTAACCACGCGACCAGCCGCTTCTCAATATTTAAACATGCTACTTAAATTCAGGCTAGACCACTATAGACTTGCCTATCTCTGGTTTTCACATATTCCAGGCAGAAAACTAACCCATTGGTTCAGCTGTTGGTCTAGAAACAGCCACGGCTGGCTTGCCTGGTAGTTGTTTCACACATTTATAATATAAAACTAAGCCATGTGTGGCTTGTGTGGCATTGATTAAACATATTTCTAATATACAACTAACCCACGTGTGGCTTGTGTGGCATTGATTAAACACATTTCTAATATACAACTAACCCACGTGTGGCTTGTGTGGCATTGATTAAACACATTTCTAATATACAACTAACCCACGTGTGGCTTGTGTGGCATTGATTAAACATATTTCTAATATACAACTAACCCACGTGTGGCTTGTGTGGCATTGATTAAACACATTTCTAATATACAACTAACCCACGTGTGGCTTGTGTGGCATTGATTAAACATATTTCTAATATACAACTAACCCACGTGTGGCTTGTGTGGCATTGATTAAACACATTTCTAATATACAACTAACCCACGTGTGGCATTGATTAAACACATTTCTAATATACAACTAACCCACGTGTGGCATTGATTAAACACATTTCTAATATACAACTAACCCACGTGTGGCATTTATTAAACACATTTCTAACAGGAAACTAAAAAGGTTAGACCCACTGCCCCCTGACAAGCATGTTGTAAAAGACAACTGATTAAGGTGTTTTACTTTGAAGTCAGAATGCATCTGCCTGAGAGGTAAGGAACTAAGAATCTGCATACAAATAAGCCGGATCACTAAAACGGATGGATACTTCTGGAACAAGATCAAAGCAAAGAAGTGGATGAACAACCAGAACTTTCTGCAGGAGTCAACAGCATTTTGAACATTATGAAAAAGCGTCTGAACCTAAGCTTTGAAGATAAACAAGAAAATAAACTGACGTAGTACGAAATAACCAGATTTGCTGTGTGGGTCCTGAGGACCAGTTTTAGGAGGAAAGAATAGACTTCTTCCTCCATAGCAAGCATGTTTAAATAGCAACTAAGTAGGGTTTTGGTAAAATAAAAGGCACAGATATCACAGCCCAGCTGTAAAACACATTGTGTCAAAACCCTGTTAAGGGCAAACATAAAAGTTTAGATCAGCAGTTCTCAACACTATGGGTCGCGACCCTTTCACAGATGTTGCGTAAGACCAGCGGAAAACACATATTCACTGAAGTTATTAAGTAGCAACGAAAATAATTTTATGGTTGAGCTTCGCCACAACATGAGGAACTGTATTAAAGGGTCGTGGCATTAGGACGGCTGAGAACCAGTGGTTTAGATAAAATCACTAACTGAATAATATCAAACTCTTTACAGGAAAAGCAGTTTCTGACAGAAAGCAACCTTCAGAGGCAGCTGGCTGATCTTGACAAGGAAGCTCTCAACACCTCTAACATGCCAGGCCAAGTGGAGATGACCCCGGAGTTGAGCGTCGTGGAGATGAGCGAGAAAAGGCTGACCATAGACATCAAGGTAAGGGAGATATAGGCCTAGACCTATATTTTATAAACACTCGAGATTACCCATTTAAGGCTGGGTTGACCTGTGAGTCAAGGTCATTTTTTCAAGTCTGGCTCTGTCATGACCTGAGCCCATGACCTTCAGATCCACAGCGAGCTTATTGCCAAGTATTGGACCTCCATGTATTTTAAGTTTTGAGCAATGAATTATGAATTGGCTTTGCTAGTTCCTTTCCTTGTCACTGTTCTTTCCCAGGTAATTTCCCGAAAAATTGTCTATTGTCAATTTTGAAGAGCACATTGGTCTGAGCCATTCGTGCTCCATCCTTTGATTCAGCAGTCATCTCAGTGTCTCCATGTTCACCATACCCATTTGGAATTGATTGTCTTATTTTCTTGTTTCAATGCCACCAGTTTATGCTGGTTTAATACCCATTTCCAACAAGTGATTTGTTGTCTCTTGGTTCCTTTGTCTTAACATTTCTGGAACGCGTCAAGTTAATTATGTCGGCCCTGTCCTTACTTTTTTCCTCTACCAACTACCTCATAACTGACAGTTTGTCAGCTCTTTCCTTTCTTTTCACCCTGGCTTGTCCTGGTGTGTACAGCTAAGATATTTTCTTGGGGTGGGACGTCAGGATATTGTCAACTCATTCTAGTCGAAGTCTGACAGTTTGGCTCGTCTTAAGCAAGCTTATTGAGTCTGTCACTATCAGTTCATGAGTAGCTTTTTCCTCCACCAACCATGCAAGTGTCACTGTGACAGCTGTAGTCTCCATCAACATGCTAGAAGTAGCTGAAATGGATGCCTAACTTTCTTATTTTACTGTTTTCCCATTCACCTGCTCTATATATGCCCAACCCGACTTACCCCATGAATAACAGAGCCATCTGTATTGATCAGGGCTATTTAACTGTTGTATGCCCACGGGCCGTATCCTACCCAGAGAGGCCTAGCAAATGATCCATGGATCATTGCCAACTGTGTTGTGTTTATGATCTTTCTGTGCTCTTGACCGGGCGCTTTGGCCCCGGACAGTTCCCCATTATCAACATTCTGGCTGCTGAGTAAACTTAGCTGAAGAACCCTGGTAGTCGATCCTAGGCCCCGATTAAATCAGTTATTGTGGATGAGGGCCTCTTATTTCAGCATCAGTAGTGGTTTAGCTCCATTCTCTGCAATACCTGCCTGGGATGATTATTACGTCAGTGTGCTCATGCCACTGCTGGGTATTTCACTTGCCTCCGTGACACATTTCTCCGAAATTCCTAAATGCATGTGGAGTTGATTGTTCTGGATTTAATCTTTTAAAAATCCGGAGAGTTTAATGCTATATGTGCACTAACATATTTGCATGACCTGGGAATAAAACATGGTGAAGTAAATCTGAGTTACCTATGGGGGGGGGGGGGGGGGGACATTATTACCAGCTCCTTATGAGAACAGTCGGTAGAGGTACTTGGAGTGGCTGCTGAATCGGAGGACTGAGCACTCATAGAATGCCCAGTGTCGATTGTGACTTTCAGTTGTGATAACATAGTATAAATTGGTGCCACATGCAGATGAGGATCACCTGTGGAGAAATCCCAGAACCCCTTTTATAGCATAACCTGTCCTGCACCTCATACTAGTTTGTTGTGCAGGGTAAAATAATTTGAGGTTTGTAGCGTGTCTGCAGAGTGATTAAAAAATAATGTAATAAAACCGAGCTGTTATCGAATTTGCATGAATGTGTTCAATGCTGATTCTAATTCGGTACTCATTGTCTGTTTTATTGTTTTTGTTTCCCAACAGCCACCAAAGGGCCGAAGATGGAAGGTGCCAGACACGGCTGAGGAAGAAGAAGAAGATGACTGTGATCCTCCATCTTCTGCAGAAATTGAAGTGATACATAAGAATCCACCCCCAGATCTTCACAGCATCCTCAAGCAGCGCACCATGTCGGAGTCCAGCGAAGAGATCAGCACCCCAGATCCCGACAGTCCTCGATCTGAGGGTGAGGAATTATCATCTTCTTTCGGCAAAAAAAGATCTGTCTCATTTAATAACCACGTGGACCGGGCTTCGTTCAAGTCTTCTGCGTCTGTCTCTAGCATGACTCCGGGCCTTAAAAGTAAACGGCGACGGCAGCGCAAACGGGAAGAGAAGAAAAAAGGGCACGTCCGGTGTAATAGCGAGGGAACCAGCAGCAGTGAAGAGTATCTGCATTCAGTGTCTGATTCCTATTCTCTGAGTGAAGAGGAGGTGGACGTTGCCCACAAGAAGTCTAAAGGTGGGAAAAGAGCTTGTTTGTACCGTGCTGCTTCTGACCCTGGACCAGATGCTGGAGGCTTGTCACCAATAGCGGAGAGAGAGAAAGGCTCTGGTGAGCCCCGGAGGCAGACAGGAAAGAAAAAGTCAAAGTTTGATTTTGATGGCCTCGTAATAAAATCTGAAGTTCCTGATTTTAGGACTAATGTATCAGCTAATGGTGAGGGTGTGGATGGAGTTAAAAATGTAAACGATTCTCAAGAGAATTTTCCACACGAGATGAGTGTGGGTACTAATGTTAAATTACAGGTTACTTCAAGTGAAAAGATGGATGTAGATAACATGAATGGAAGTTTAAGTTGTGAAGAAAAGAAAACTTTGGATAAAAATAAGAAAATAATCTCTGAAATTAAGAGCAAACTTTGCGAAGGCAACATTGAAGGAAAGAGAGAGCAAAAAGATGACAGTGATGATGATGATTTTGTAGATGCAGTGAGCTCTCTAGCGGCGGAGTTTAAAACAAAGCTCGACCTTGAAGAGTCTGGCGGCAACTGCCACAGTGAGTTGCTCAGTGGGACTGGTAATGGGAAGTTTAAGCCCCTCACTGAACCTCCCAATCCAGAAAATAACTGTCTAATAGAAGAGATTGAACCAGCCAAAGATTATAAATCTGTTGCAGGGACGGCATCTAAGTTCCACAGTAAGAATGGTGAGAATAATGATGGGGAAAGATGTTCTCTGCAGCATGAGAAATCGGGCGTTGAGACAATGTTGAGTTGGAAGGAGGGTGGGACCAGCAACGAGCATGTTACTAATTGTGCTGTCCAGTTTTCCAATTCTCTTATGTTTGATTTGGACATAGAAGGAATTTGAGGGGAAGTGACGGTAGACGAACTGCCAGCCAGTTTAAATATTGTTTTTATAAAACAAGATGTTTCAAATATACAGTTTGGTCTGAGAACAGACCAAACGTCAGTTTGGATATTTTTTTTTTTATTGACAAACAACATTTGCAGTTATTTTTTTTCTTTATTATTATTGAATCTCTATACAAATAGACTTGTTCCTTCCAGCTTGATGCTCTTGCTGATGTCTAGGTTTCAGACTATGATAACTAATTTTTTTTTAAAAACATTTTCTTTAGTTATGCTTCTACCTTTTGCCGTACTGTGTAAGTCCCTTGCGAATAAAATGTATTGTGGACTTAATGCGAGTTGTAAAAATGAATGATTATTTCAGGTTATAACATTTTTTTTTTTTTTTGCTTATAACAGACATGTTTTCTTCTTGGTAAGTTGCATCTGGTGTCTGCATAGTAAGTCTTGATATAATTTTAAAATAGGTTAATAAGTCAGTAGGTTGTATTGAAACTGTGATACCACCAGTGTCACCATACAAACTAGAAATCTACTTGAAATTGAAACTTAGAAATCTTATCTCACTATCACCATGCAAACTGGAAATCTACTTTATAAAATAGCATTATGCAAACATTAGGAAAACCTACCTGATATTACCATGCATACAGTAGTAAATCAGTTTTATATGCATAGATTAGGAATGATGTTTGCTATGGCTGAAACATCACATTCTTTTGCTTTTTACATACCTTAATAAGGAATAAGCATGTAGGGTTTGATGATGTGTTTTACATACATGCATGCATACAAACATATATACATGCATACATATACATGTATACATATATATGCTGTATATTCGTTAGTATAACTACTCACTGTATTGTATTCGAACTAACGAATGAACAGACTTTATTTTCAAAGGGTTGCAAATTGGGCATACAGGCCCATCTTACATTTGGCCCTTCCAAACACTCATCTTTCATAATGTTTTTTTTTTTAAATTTTATTTCTCAGCCTGTAATTTTCTCAGTATGTGGCATTGTACCAAGACTGATAAACGGTCCAGTTTTCCTGTCGTACTGTAAATGATACTAGGTCTGTACTTTCTTGATTGAAATGCAGACAGTAGGTGATATGGCCAGAATCATGACAGTTGTCATTTACCTTATCGGTAAGGGAAGTAATCCAGGTAAAAATGAGAAAAGACGGAAGTTACAGAACTTGTATTTGACCATGAAAGAGTATACGGAAACCAGCGACTCGTGATCTGATGTGCCTTTTTAGTGTAGACTGATAGAGAAGTCTATGACAGCAGTCATTTGGCCTCACTAGCAAAAGTATCCCACCTTGAAGGGCATTTAAACTCAGGACCATCTGTCTGGTAGAAGAGTGCACTGCTACTGCTCCACATGCAGCATAGTAGGGAATCTGGTGGAGCATTGACTTTCAACTAACTCACACCAAGTGGTACTATTCTTTGCTGTCACACACACTGTTAATCACATGAACAGTGTCTGTCTGTGGATGTTAATCACTGATGAGAGTGGTATAACTGTATCATAGATTAGTTCGGCTGTTAACATTAGGACTCGTCACCAGATTTAGCTGTAGCATTCTATAGGCATGCTAACTCCTTCAGTGGACTCATCACCAGATTTAGCTGTAACATTCTATAGGCATGCTAACTCCTTCAGTGGACTCATCACCAGATTTAGCTGTAGCATTCTATAGGCATGCTAACTCCTTCAGTGGACTCATCACCAGATTTAGCTGTAACATTCTATAGGCATGCTAACTCCTTCAGTGGACTCATCACCAGATTTAGCTGTAACATTCTATAGGCATGCTAACTCCTTCAGTGGACTCATCACCAGATTTAGCTGTAACATTCTATAGGCATGCTAACTCCTTCAGTGGACTCATCACCAGATTTAGCTGTAGCATTCTATAGGCATGCCAACTCCTTCAGTGGACTCATCACCAGATTTAGCTGTAGCATTCTATAGGCATGCTAACTCCTTCAGTGGACTCATCACCAGATTTAGCTGTAGCATTCTATAGGCATGCTAACTCCTTCAGTGGACTCATCACCAGATTTAGCTGTAACATTCTATAGGCATGCTAACTCCTTCAGTGGACTCATCACCAGATTTAGCTGTAGCATTCTATAGGCATGCTAACTCCTTCAGTGGACTCATCACCAGATTTAGCTGTAACATTCTATAGGCATGCTGACTCCTTCAGTGGACTCATCACCAGATTTAGCTGTAACATTCTATAGGCATGCTAACTCCTTCAGTGGCAGGCAAGTATGTCTTCAACTCTTTAATTCTAAGGATCGCCTAAAATTTTAAGTCTTTATCAAAATGTTTTTTTTTTTTTTAATATCCTACGAGACAAATAAAGCTGAAGACAAAAAAAACATATGAAAGGGAGTCCTAATAAACGCATGGAAAGTAGCTTAGTATTGTATGAGTTAAGGATCATTATTACACAGCTGGATAAGTTTCCTCCCTTTCGTTACAAGAAAGATCAGAAAGTTCATTGCCAAAGTAATTGAAAAAATAAAAGTGTTTCTAGGGTATACAGTTTTGGTATTTGCAGACGTTAAAATATTTGGTTTGCAGCAAATGATGAACTGTTCAAGACGGAACAGTTATCCGATAAAAGATAAATGTTTTTTGTTTCAGCCGCTAGACGGCTAAAGGAATGAGAATGGCGACGCTAGAGAAGAAACGCTTTTGTGTAGTGCAGTTTGCCAAGTCACTAACGGTAATCACAACATAACATGAGTTTAGGTGACAATTTAACACTCATTTACCATCTGATAACAACATTCTCAGATGGAACTAACATATCAGGATTAATCAGTATGTTAAAGGTCAAAAATTTACTTGACTACGTCAGAAGAAAATGTGCAGAGAGAGAAACTTGTCAGTAGAGCTTTGAAAAACCAACAGTGTGAGTTAGTCATGAATGGTAGATTCCTTAAAAATGAGGTACACTTAGCAAAAGTGATTGATAATGAAAAGCTATGTTGCAGTCACTATTAGCTAATCTTGCGGACAATGGAGAAAAAAAAAGGATTTTCTGCAAAGAAATCTTGGAGAAATCTATAGCAAGGGGGAATGCCATCTTATTTGCCTTAAGGGTGTCCGGAAGTTTCTGAATGAAGTTCCTTACTTTGATGGAGGAGAGCATTTGTTCCATACTGCTAACCAACTAGGATCTTTCACTATGATTTCTGGTTACGGAGTTATAAAAGACCACTTTTGTCCTGAACGATCTGAGCACTAGAGTAACAAATCAATGGACTTGATTATCATTTAAATCAGGGGTGGGCAACCTTTTTTTGAATGAGGGGCCAAGAATTACTAACCTGGTTGCAGGCCATAAAGAACCAAGATTTTCTCGTAACACAATATTTTTGTGAGATAATCTAAGATTGTAAGCCCTGGCTATGCCTCTAGCCAGATACACTCACCCACTGAAGCACTTCTGTATTTTCCTAAATGTGTCAGTTAAAGCTGGTTTATTTGCAGAAATCATTTTCTGCTATTTTGTATGCTATCGTCATTTTATCCTAGCCTTGTGGACCAGTAAAATAATCCAGTTTTGGCCCGCGAGCCAGTTTGCCCACACATGATCTAAGTACATGCCGTGAAACATAAGGACACACTAAGTAATTATTGTATAATATTAAACTTAAACAGTTATATTTCCTTATACAATTGTTGAGTAACATCAGTTAATTCATCTGAAATACTAATAATCTTTTGTAATCATCTTGTATACTAAAATTTTGTTATGGCTCCATTTATCCATCTTAACCTTCTTGAAGTATTTCTGAGTATAAATCGTAGTCATTTTTGAAAATTTCCACACAGCATAATTACAGGTTGGGCACTCAACTTTTGGCATTTGTTTCATCCCCTTCCCAGTTATCGTTTTTTTTAAAAACCAGGGAACCATGGTAATAAGCATGCTTGCCTACTGTCCCAGGGAACATAAGGTTTGAATCCTCATCAAAACAGCGGCTGACCTAGTCTGAAATGGGTACCAGGAAATATTCTGGGAGGTTAAGGCAGCTGGCATGGTGTTCTTCATGACTAGTTCTGTAATATTGAGACTAGCACGTTGTGTTTAATGAACTTGAAGCTAGAACACTGGCTTCTTCTTCTTATATCTTTACCGCTTCTGACTTTATCCATAACTAGAGCTATGAGTGCCCACACAGATCTGGCGTATTTGAATGTTGTTAATAGATGCACTCCAAAAAGGAAACACACCTAATAGTTGCCTCCTAAGTTCAATTTAGGGAGAAATTAGATTTCAAGGAGAGAAGTAATATCCTTTGGGCCACATTCTCTAGAATGGTGGGAGTGGGGAATCTTGTCCAGTTCAAAGCCCTCTCAATCTTGTCCAGTTCAAAGCTCTCTCAATCTTGTCCAGTTCAAAGCCTTCTCAATCTTGTCCAGTTCAAAGCCCTCTCAGTCTTGTTCAGTTCAAAGCCCTCTCAATCTTGTCCAGTTCAAAGCCCGCTCAGTCTTGTACCATCCAAGTTAATCATACATTATATTGCAGCACTGAAGTATACAACTATAGGCAGTCAATATGCAGGCAGTACAAAGAATTTGATATGTTGATCTCATGCAAATACATCGAGGCACTTTAGTTTTATGAGCTGCGTAACCCAGTTGTTTGACACTTATTTATGTGTAAAAAAAATTATACACATTTAATGTTCGTAGATTATAGACATTTATCTTCGTTAAAATATTTTCTGGGTTTTTCTTTTTCTTTTTTTTTCTTTAAGAGACTTCTTTATTAAAATCACCTGAAGAAAGTCATGTAAAGTAGTTTGTCTTTGATACATATCACTGACATGTTCAGCTCCTGTCCCTGTTGAAATAATATTGATAAAGCATTAAATGTGGCCAGTATATGAGAGAAGTGCTTGTTGTTTTCCTTAAAGTAATAGCAAGTTTTGTTTTGAACATATACTTTTTT